CGGCGCTGGCACGTGCTGGTCGCGCTACGGCTGCCAACTTCGCCATAAGAATCTGCCGACATTTATGCGGTGAAACGATTCTTCATGGATTGCTTTTGCCAGCACAGCTGCGATCTCGCCATTGAACCGCAGCCTTGCCTTGAAGGTGTTGCAGGCGTTTTTGCGCCCAGAGACTTTTGCTCGAAGTTTGGCGGCTTCATTCAGTCACAACTGATGGACACTTGTGCTCGCAAGCCTTGAAATTTTATTTTGAAGACATCGTGTGCTTGAGAGTGCGCCCGGATGCTGTTTTTTGATCCGAGTTGACACTGAGCCGCAAGCGCAACGGCCGTCCAAGCCATGCAGTCTGGCGCTCCTTGACGCAAGAGACGCCGTGGCAAAGCAATGACTGGGATAGCTGCTGCAAATCTACTCGACCCATCTGTCCGACAACCTGTCCTGACCTTGCAAAGTGAGCTCAGCCAAGCGTTCTATGAACGAGCCATGCGTCAACTTCACAGATTGCAAGCGCAAAGTCACAGCGAATCCTACAAAAATCGCCGCTTCTGTCAGCTTGCCTGCTTTGATCCTGTCTCACGTTTGTTTTTCCCGTTTGCCGATGGCACTGCCATGTGCGTTCCGTGTGACCAACAGCACAGTAGCCAATGTTTTGTCTAGACTAGACACATGGCTCTTGCTTCGGTTTTCGTTTCGCGTGCCTTTGCAAGGTTTCCCTGCGCGTCGTCAGGGTGGGGTGCGACGCCTACACACGCACATCTTTTTTCTTCTCTGTTCAGCGTCCGCCTTGCCGTGGCAGAGAAACTCCGTATTATCTATGGTGGGAAGCCAAGAGACGCTGACCAATCTCTTGGTAGAGTCTTGCCAAGTCGTAGAGATCTTGAGCAGAGGTCTTGCGTGGAAACTCCGATGTGGACAGAAATCTTCTCCAACGTTTCTATATAAATGACACCGCCAAGAAAACCGACGGCGACATGGAGCAGCAGGCCGTGGAGACAGCAGAGAAGAGTCTGAAACGGGGGGCAAAAACGAGAAGAACAGATAAAAGAAGAAAGAGGTAGCGGAAAAGGGCAACGGAGCATAAAAACGAAGCAAGGAAGCGGGTTGAGCACAATGAGGAGCAGGACAGGTGGAGGAGTACAAAAAGAGGGGGGAGAGAAGGGAGAGAAGGAGGAGGAGAAGACGGAGGAAGGAGGAGGAGCAGGAGATAGAGGAACAGGAGCGCGAGAAAAGGAGGAGCAGGAGGAAGAGGAGAGAGGAGGAGTCCACTAGTTTTCCCTTCTTGTTTGTCGCAGCAAACCCCTCTACCGACGCAAAAAACCCTTCTTACCGTTGCAGTGAGCCACCACTGTCTACCGTCGCAAAAAAACCCTGTGGCCCAAACAATAAACCCATCTGAGCCGTTGTAAAAAAAAACCCTTGAATTATTGAGTTGCCCGTCTCAAAATAAACCTTTAGCATTTTCGCTGTAGCAAAAATCCTTGGTTACCTAGGCCTGACTGGCATTGGGGTGGTTGAAAAGGGGTCAATGTATGTAATATATGCAAGTCCCATGGATGGTCTGTGACACTGTGGTACGACATGGTATGATCGACCTATTTACCTACATTTGGGCAGTCAGATGTTCAAAGGGATCAATCGGGCGGCGTATTTATGCCATGCATCCCATGGAGGCCGAACTTGGTAATGTAGAAGGACCCCGGGCCGAGGTTAACATCACCAGGTTTGGGGGTTTGATGAATCAACACACCTGCCCTATGGATCCACATAACTTATGAGGGACATGCGCAGATAGTCTGGGGATCCCATAAAACAGGCACCTGAAACCTGCCAGGTAACCACCCGCCACATTTAGGTTTCCAATACACCACTTCGGAGACCTGCAGAGTCGGGTGCTGGTAGTTGGACTAGCTGGGAGAAAGCGTCGATCTGAAGATGAAGAGGTGCAAGGTCGTCCTGCCATGCGGCAGCATGGAAGAACTGGAACGAAAACGCATCATGCAACCTGGGTTTAGTCTGGATCTATAGGGTATATCCCGCAGTAACAGGTCGGTGGAAGATCACGATATATTGGGAAAAGTGTTTTCTATACATGTAACATCATGTAAATGTAACCATCATCATCCACTGGGCCCTGGTAAGTATGGAAAACCATACCCTAAGGTGGATCAATGTTTATCTCCGGTCCAGGCTCTAAGGCAGGAGAGTTTTCTGGTCACACACTGAGCACGGTACGAACCAAGCTCACTCTCAGTAGCTGACCCGGTTCGCAACAAACCCCCCCCACAATCATGGGTTCGACCCTGAAACCACGTGCGGTTCACCTGGAAAACCCTTCGATGCAGTCCGGCTCCAACACGGCTTCGGTGAAGTAACATCGGCTGGTCGGATGAAGGTTTCAATGTGGATCACCCCACTCAACAAGGACAGGTGGACAGGTGCTCGACTCGGGCCCTTGACCCACTTGGAGTCGACCGAAGACTTCGTACCAAGATGTTCGTACATCGGGTACTGAAGTACCTGGGAAATCAAACAACCAGAAACAAGTCTGGATGTTTCCCAGTCCCAGCCATTTCATATTCTCAGGTTCGGTACGACTGGACCCGACGTTTTGGCACCTACATAACAGTGTCGAACACATCACCTAACCTGAGAAGGTGCAACTGGATCCCTAGGGTTTGAATAGGGTCATGAGTCATGTCCCATGTTCTAAGGTAACGGTCCATCCCGGGTCGTGGCACACGGTCCATCGATGCGACGTCTGGGGGCAGTCGACGCTGAGGTCGGCACCTGTGGACTCGAAGACGGAGGAACTAGGAGAAGCCCCGAATCCCTCCTCCACCTAGTAGCTTCTTGTTACTATTAGTAATGGCCTCCATTCCAATAGCGATGGCCTCCAACCTACTACTTTTTTGCTACTATGTCTCAAAACTAGAAACTCAAAGTTCATTGGAGCCTCAGTTCGCTAGGGTTTTTGACCCTCACAACTGGGGTGAAATGGACCGAACCAACATTTAGCAGTTGCTTGGCCGGTTTCGGGTCGGCAGAAGCTGATGGACTCGAATCAACTGCATCCAACTGCATCCAGAATGAGCGTTTGTCCAAGCCTCCGGTCCACCAGCCAAGCCCCTGAGGGTCCTGACTCTCAAGCCGCCGGTTTTGGGTTCCCTACGCGCCGATGACGCAGGTGTTGTTTGGAGGTCGACGCAGTAAAATACGAAGTCATTAATCAGTATTGGGGGGGGGAGTTCCTATAGGTTCCTGGACCCGCTTGGGCTCTGATTTCGTCCGCAGTGTCGCCAGGCGTGACCACCATGGAGGTCAGCTGTGAGCCGGTGGAGGGCCAGGCTCCACGAGTTTTGTTCCGTTTTTCATCGATCGGAGCGAAGCGATGTGGCGAAGGCTCCGCAGATGCTTCACCGAAGCAAGGAGAATTGTTGAGAGACTTGTTTGGCCAAAAGTCGGTGCTAAGGAGATCCAAAATGGCAACATTGCTTTTGGGTTATTTATTTTTGGTGGTTGTCAATATGATGTATGTATCATAACTTAATATGCGGAACTCATGGAAAACAGGGGATCATCATCTAATATTGCTTTCTCCTCTCATGAGGGTGGGGTCTCTTTGGTGCTTTTGACAATCTTTCACCTGACCTGATAATCCAGTTGGGAGGCTAGTGGAAACCACACACACACACTGCACCTGTGGGTTGTTTCTGGGTGTTTCTGGACCGAAGAACCGATTTGGCGAACTTGGAGGAAGATAGAAGGTGAATGAATGGGCCTCGTACAGCCAGGGTCGATGTGAGATGACCTACTAAGCAAGTGTTCGCTACTAGTAGCTCCTGGTATTACCACTAGGAACAAGAAGCCACTAGCTTTTTATGTTTTTTGGGCTCCCATGAACTCCGAGTTTTGGGTTTGGGCGAGGGGTACCAGCCACGAAATTCCGTCGTGCAGCGAGTTGGGGGGATTATACTCAAAACCGCTCACTCAAATGGTAAAGGTTCCGCTCGTGCCCTCAAGGCCCGGCTCCAAGTGCCCGCACCGCCACGCCAGACATGCTTATACTGCGAGTGCTTGAAAAACCGACCGTCAGGCGATCCGAGGGCAAGCCATTCTTCACATGCTCTGCGCGACATAGACCGAGGACCGCGACACTGCGACGCTGCATCCGTCAGGTTGGACAGGTCTTGTTCGATGCATCCGTCACGCCTTTACCTGCCGGGGTCCACAGTGGGCGGTCCGTCTGCCGTCTCTCGATCTGTCAGAGATTCCGAGATGAGTCGAGTCAAACGAGACGAGATTTGTTGATGAGATTCAATCGGGCGGCTCTTTGACGGTCTTTTTGGAATTTGTTGCGTATCGCTTTTGCTGTAATTACTAGTGCTTGATTACTGAACCAACAGACATGTTGGTGGAGACCCTCCGTCGTTTTTCAAGGCGCGCTTCCCCTAGAGGCCATTGACGTGTTGATGTAGTAAAATGAATCGAAACAAATTCTGGAAACGCTCCCGCCTGTTAGGGAAGAAACTGTTCCGCCTCTGAGGGAATGAACGAGCAGGGAATGAACCCATCCATCGGCCATGAAACAATTCCTATCAGGTCGACCCTGTCATACCCAAGAAATACGTGAATCACTTGCAAAACATTGCAAAATTGTTTGAAAACATTTGGGGACACCCCACCACTGGAAAGCTTGCTGAATCATGATTTTCGGGATCTCGGGCTTGGAATCGCTAAATGTTGGCATCATCTTAAGTTCAACAACAGTCCACATCAACATATGTTCCCTGTCCATCCATGGGGCTGGCATATCGCTGGGGTGGTACGGTGACGAGCATCGAACAGATGGATCGATCGAGCCGTTCCGAGCTACGAACGCCCCCACAACTTGCACTCCATGTCTGAGTCGCGCCTTTCCGAGACCTTCCCCAGAGTCGAGGGGGGGGTTCTTGAGCCCTTGGATTTACAATCCGGAAAACATCGCTCGTTCGTCTTCTTGGAGTTCCAGAAAACACCGGTGACACTTCGGTGACACCGGTTCTCCGATCCGCGATCCGCGGCGATCCCACCGGGTCCGCGTCCCCATGGGTGCGATCGGATCGGTGGGAGAGCGGAACGAGCAGAAGTTGGTGGATTTACAGATCGTGGGCCTGGATTCCATGGCTTAAGAAAAGCTTGGCAGGCTTTGCTTGGCTAGGTGTCCTTGTTTGTTTCCATTTGTTCCGTTGTTTGGTCTGTCCCCTGGAAAGGAGTGATTGGTGATGTTCATTGATTCATTGATATATCTGCATCGTGTTCATGTTCAACGCATTAAGGCATGGCTGTGGTTGTGAATTGTGTTATGCCACCATCAGGGAATCTACTTTGTTCAATCAGGGCTCCTACAAGGGTACCATAGGGTACCCATCAGCCTGCCTGCGTATACATTACTCTATAGACCTTATATAGGACCACCAGTGGATACCCATTGCCCCAGTGCTAAGGACCTAACAGTTGATGTTTGTCAGATTCTTCCCAACAAGAGATACACATGCCACAACATGCCACAGACCACCTGAAACAAGCAGTGGCAGGGACCCAACTTGGATGGAAAGGACTGGACATTTGGGTGATTGTGATGCCTTTGATGAGATGCAGTCTGAGGATGGAGAAGGATTCGAAGTGAAAGTACCTGAGTCTTTGAAAGGCATTGAACTCCGAGACAAGGTCCGAGACCATCTTCCTATCAAAGCAGGTGCTCGAGTCCTTTTCTGGCACGCAGAGTCAGGCTCCAGTTCGAGCAAGATGCTATCACCTAGCAAGACTTTGAAGGAACAAGGGCTTACTGGAGAGAATGCACGCTTCTCGCTTGCAGAGTTTTTATTCCTTTTTTTCGACCCCTCAAAACGCGGACAACTGATGGAATTTCCTTTGTTTTGCAGGTGCGGATGATGACGGAAGAAGCAAAGACTCGCCCCATTCCAATGGTTTTGGCTGAAATAGTATGACTGTCTCTGTTGAATGAATAAATAAGTCCGACACCATCTGAACCAAGACCCTTTTGCATCCTTTTGCGGGTTTGAGGTTCTTTCCATCAACCAATCATCAACAGAAACATACAGCTTCATCAAGTGACCTTGTTGGAGTCCCCTGGTCGTGACCTGTAAAACAGGCCCTTCAAAGTGACCAGATAATAGCGGGATATCAGATAATATAATATAGTATCAGAGATCAATTTTGGTCACTTTGAACCGCCATGAATTTTGTGATGGAGAACTGTCATGTCGACTCACAGGTTTGTCCTTTATCTACGACACCATCAAGCTCTACGACGCTTGGGTGTTTCTGGACGCCCTACGCAGCTCGTATGTGGCCAATCGCGCGACGTTGGAGGAGGTCCGCACGTGCTTGGAAGCTACAGATGGTTGAGCATATCTTTTTCAGTTCACCCGGAATTCTTCGGCTGGTCCGACTAGACCCCCAGGTCCGACTAGACTCCGACCTGTCGGTCGCGATGGCCATGCTCTTCCCCAGCTCGCCTAAGGGTCGATAGCGATGGCCTCCCTCATACGTTTCCGAAAGGGTGGAAACCAAGGAAGGCATCACAAAGATCTGTGGCCTTCGAACTGTGAATCAGCTTCGACATTTGCCCGAGAGTGGCTTGGACTCCGCAGAATCTGCGCAATCCAAGACGTTCGCGTGTGGTGTGGTGGCAAGTGATAGCAGGTGGTGGCCGTTGTTTGTGTACAGTTCTGGAGCTGCTTTGGAAGAGCAAGATATCTTACCAAGAATCGGAGCCCTGTAAAAGACAACTTTCCTTTTTACAAGCACTACCTTGGATGGAATGTGATGCTTCGCGCGTCGCGTTTGGGACGAGCGGAAGAGGCGAACCTTCAACTCTGAGGAAAGAACTCTCCCTTGCCTCCATCTACCAATGAAACGATAGGAAGGAGGCTGTACGGTATAGGGGACAACCCACTCAACGGGTGGAATGTTTGACCCTGACGACCCTATCTCTGCAGACTCGTGGCTTCTCCCTGCCCTGCCGATGGACTGATGGATGGTGGGAAGGACCCGCATCGAAGTCATGAAGCAGCGATGGTGTTGTCCAGCACTTGACCTGCCAGGGTCTTCTACCTGGAGTTTTGTGTTGCAGGAGAACTCATTACGCGTATAATTAGTCTTGGCTAGTTCAGCCAGGAGACCCCAATTTCGGAAGGTGCTGGAATCATGATGGTCTCTTTGTCTTTCTGTGTTTAATCCGCAAGAATACTCTAAGAAGATTTGTTGGTCCGCCAGAAGCACTTTTTCTTTTTGTGGACCAAGCACTTCAGGTCTTCACAGTCTGACGTTGTGCAGTGAGATCAACTTGGCACAAATCACCTGGCCCAACAGCCTTCGACATTTGACCTTTGGTGAACGCTTTGATATGAAGCTGGATGGAATCTCACCCGCAAGACGCGACAGCACGCGACAGCTTTGATTTCGTATTGGCAATTGGATCTATACTGCATATTTTACTGTTATTCTACTAGTTATAGCATTTGTAATATTTGTAGCAATATGCAGCAATTGCTACTTGTTATTTTTTAGAATATTGTCATAGCAATTGCTTGTTTCTTTTTGTTCGTGAGTGGTTGCTGTTGTTGTTTTCATTTGTTGCCCCCAATAGCCCGGCACATTCCTAGGATCCTTGAAAGACCACCTTACTTTAGAAACACTATAATAAGGCGTTTGCAGCTGTGATTTTGAGCTTTAAGAGTGTACGTGAGAGGATCACAAGCAGTTTGTCACAAGATGAACCTATTTCAGGATCCTCTTTGGAAGCCGTAAGATTCTAGAACTCTCTCTAACGTAATTATAGACTTTTGATTAATAACCACCCCATTTGGTTTGAATAACCTCTTCTACCCCACTCGCCTTCCCATCCGCGAACGAATCCCCTTGTGGGATGGGTAAGACGCCACCGTGGACAGCGCAGGTCACACCGGCAGCAAAAGAGTCTAGTGAAACGGTCCAGGTAGTGAGAAAGAAGACCTCAAAGAGGGAACTCCCAGGTGGAGGTGTTTAGAACACCCGCCAGCTAGGAGTTCAGCACACTGAAGAAGCTCGTCAACCTCAAAGCAGGGAATGGTCCCAACAATTGCACCCTGTGGCAAAGCTCTGCCCTCCGTTTTCAAGCGCCAATTATCTGTGGAGCCTGGAAAAACGCCATGTCCATGTATCTTGTTTATAAAGACTAAAGTTCTGCGAAGCCAGAAAGTGAGGTCGCGGAAAGTTGAATCACACGAACTGCAAGATTCCAACACGAAGCCTCGCTTCCAGAAAATGAAAGCAAATTCGACAAGAGATGTACACGCATCGGGATGGACCCGCCGAAAAGGACTCTGAGATCGTTCGGGTTCAATTTGGCTACGGCCAGAAACATAAGGCTTGGGTCACACACCCAAACCCACACACGATCCATACCTCGATCCATAGGGTATGGATCAAAAGGTGGGTGTGTGATCCAAGGGCTTGGATCACACAACTACCAGTGCCACCACAACAACAACTACTACAACAACAACAACAACTACTACTACTACTACCACTACGGCTCGCCGGTGACTGTGGCCTCATAGAGCTTGTTGAAAAAGTCCCGTCTCAGCTTGGCCGCAATGAGGGCCATGGAAGGCCGTGCGCGAGCATCCCTCCAGTGTTCCATGGATGTGGACACAACTCTGTGGATGAGGTCCTGAATGTCAGGTGGAGGCAAGTCAACCTGGGCGGTGAGGTCTGGTAACTGCTGTAGAATCTGGGCTTCAGACAGCGACCTGTCAATCAACTTCCATCCACAAAGGTGTGGAGACGGTGTCAGAAGCTCTGCTCTGTGGGGGATGTGCTGGAGGCCGATGTCGATACGCCTTGCCAGAATCGCAGCAACCTTTGAATCTGCAAGATGGTCACTCTCGCATTGGACTGGTTCATCTCGATTTCCACCGCTCCCCAATGGGCCTGGAGGAGGATGGGCACGATCGTCCTGGAGGATGGAGCAACCCAAAATTCCCCAAAAGGGTTTTCATCAAAGTCATCCTGCTGCACGTCCCAATAGACAGGAGGCGAGAAACAAGCTCCCTCAGGCTCGATCTCCTGGATGATCCGGCAGATAAAGTATAGTTCGTCCGTTGCCAGCCACCCGTGCGAGTCAATGGAGAAGGCGGCACGTTGCTCAAAGGATGCACTAGCAGGCAGGGTCATGGGAATGCCCTGGTATCCATGATGGCCGCCTGCTCGAATTTCACCTCGTGGGTGAAGCATGACAATCGCAAGGTCTTCAAGGGTGCACTGGTGCGTGGACACATCAGTTCCATTGATCTTGGCAACAGACATGGTGGCGTCTTGAATCTGGAACAATGTACTTCCACCAATATCCGCAAAAACGAGTGCAGTGGTTCCCTCCGAGTTCCCTCCAGAAGAAGCAAAACCGAGTGCATATGGTCGCTCCGCTCGTTGGAGTGGATCACAACAATAGGGTCAAGTCCGGTGGTTGCAGTGTTTTCCACCCGAAGGACAATGCACTCACACGCAGTCATGGTGGCCTGGAGGAGGTCGATGAAGGCACCAACCATTGCGTCGGGAATGCTCACCTGCATAAAAGTCGGGAGCTCAATGCAGAAGAAGGTCACTGAGGAATAGGTCAAAGACGATGGGATCAGCACTTTCTCAGTTGCTCCAATGCAAGCTCGGAACTCAATGGTCTGCAAGAAACACTCGAAGGGCATCTCTTGGACCACCAGGACAGCAGGCGGGGAGTGCTCCTCAAAGGAAGCCACCTCAAAGGGAATGGTCGGAGATACGATGACCTCAGTGGCGTCGAACATTCCTGTCATGGCCGAAGAGGGCTGCGGAGTCACAAACCTACGAAGGGCATGGTCACATCTGGAAAAGTAAACCCAGTCACCCTCAGAAAACACAATGGCATTGGATGATGTCAACCGATCATTCCAGGAATCTTGAATCAACTGAGGGAGGTTCAACCGCTGTTTGAATGCCGCTTGAAAGCCGAGACGGAGAGGTAAGAGGCCATGCTGGACCGTGATGGCATTTCCAACACACTTGAAGGCTTCCTGGTTTTTGTTGGGGAGGACAATCATTTCGCAGGCTCCAAAAAGGCAGCAAAACCTACATGGATCAAAAAATGACACTCCCCTTGCATGATCCTCAAGGACAGCGAAGATACCTTTTGATCGAATGTGGCCTCTGTCACAAGCAAGTGCTGAGACGAGTACGAGGCACAAAGGGTTGGCAATGGTTCGCCGCTCTTAGGAAAACGAGACTCCAAAATCTGCTGTGGCGATGAAGAGGCTTGCAGAGTTCGCCTTTTGGCTCCGGGCAAAAAGACCACATTGCTGTAGATGTCCAGCTCGGAATCCGAGAGCTTCAATTGCCTTTCCCAGCATGTGGGCAGATCAAAGGAATACAAAGTGCTCGCCCAGGGGATTCGAGGAATAGTCTGGAGACTGATCCTGGCATCAAAAACCCATGGGTGGTGGTCTGACCTCACCCAGGTTGCAAACCATCTGGAGCGAAAGTGGTTGGAAACCAAGTGGTGGTTAACAACCTGATTGAACACTCTGGTATAACCCATGCGTTGAAGGAGTTCAATCACAAACATGTGGTGTGGGTGATGAGTGAACTCATCAACGCATTCGGCAGTGATGATGCTCGGTTGCAAGATCATGCACACTTCCAGCAATTCTATGAAGGCCCAGCCACTCGGATGGCACAGGCCTTGGACCTTCCCAGCTCTCGACCATGTCGGGCATGGTGGGGATAAGAATGTGACCACAACATTCGTGGTATTTGCACACAAATGTAAAGACGTGAGGTCACCCACAAAGGCATGGATGCCAATATGGCCTGAGGGATTCCAGGTGGTCTGTGGGGCGATAGGTGCACGATATGGGTGAAGCATGTACTTGGCAGACCACAAATCAATCACTGTATAAGTCGACCGAAATTTGTTGGCCCACCATTTGGCCCCCACTGGATGATGCACACCAAGATGCCGCCTGTGACCAGCCGGAAAAAGAACCGGCAAATAAGTGTAAATAATTGCACGCGAGTTCCGGCTCCAAAGAAGGCCTTGGGCATAAAATGCAGTCCTTTCGAAAGTGCCACTCACTGCCAGACAAAGGTGTCGTAAGCATGCCGCAAACAACCACTTGTGAATCCGACACCACCTGGAATGCTCGAAGCGAAACCTCGGGGATGTGCACACGAACCTGGTGGTGGAAATCAGGACCAGTACAGAAGCCCTTGCCAGGCTTGAACTGCAGCAATCACACACCGTGACCTGGCCTGCGAAGCAAACTAAATCCCGAATCCTGAGCAGGGAAGAAGTAACGCTGAGAGTCTCAAGCAGGTTGGTCATCCTGAGATCATATGGATCTATGAGGCACGAAGGATCCATGGCAACTCAGCCCGAGTTCCCTGAGCTCAGGGCAGTTGAGCCGGAGAGCTTTTGAATAACCTCTTCATATGGGGGGTTCATCAATCAAGAATTTCCTCTACACCCGCAGTTCCAACTCCGAAGACATTGGTGTTACAGGCGTTCTCCAAGAAGACTGCTTGGGAGGGTTTCTGGAGCACTCTGGAGTGTGAAAAGCCCACGTTGAGTCATCTGGACCTCCAGTTTGTACGCTGAATACGCTGGGACATGAACGGACATGACCCTTTCAACGCAAGAGCTTTCTCTCCCGAAGGAGTTCTTGTTCATGTCGACATGTCTTGGTCAGGAATGTGCTGGCCCAGCGGCCTTTTGACTCTGAACTTGGGTGACCAGTTCTCTCAGCCTTTGGAAGGGGTTCATTGGCCAAGCAGTCTGCAGTGCCTCAGAAAAACAAAGTGCTGGAAAGTTCAGAATGTTATTTTTGCTTTACGGATGCCTGGTTTGGGTTTCTTCCAAGGAGTTCTCAACATTTGGTGTATAGATTTATAGATGTTAACTGTTAACATTGCAAATTGGTTATAGCATGTTTCCTTCTGGTGCCACGAGGAGTCTAACCTTGGGCTGCAGCTTCAATCGGAGTTTGGAAGGAATGAAATGGCCGAGCCAGTTGCAGAAACCTGGGAACATTGAGCAGTTTTTGTCTCAGACTGTTCCCGAACCCCTTTTTAACCCTGGGAAGTCCATAAGGGGCGTTTTTTTCGTTTTGGCCAAATGTTCCGCTCGAAAACCCGATGTTTCAGCGCATGCATGTCCTGGACGGTTGTGGGGCTTACGGACACTCTTTTCCAGCTTTAAGTATTTTGCGATCCTTGATACGGGCCAAAGCCAAGGAGTTTGAGGCTTGGCGAGAGGTTCAACCAAAGTTTGGAGCGAGTGATTTGGCCAGAAAGCCTGCAGCATTTGACGTTTGGCTCCGACTTCAATCAGAGTTTGGAGTGTATCTGAGCGGCTTACACTATACCCTACATCCAACGAACATGCAAGTGGAAAATTGCTATGCAGCTATGCATGCATTTTCTACCTGCATGATTGTTGGAACGAGTGTAAATTTTGTCAGTTGTGTTTTTGCCAACTTCTGGGCGGGGCAAACAAAGTGGGCGAATCCTGGACAGGGGGGTGAACAATGTCATATAGAGCTAGTTATAGAGCTGTATGGAGTAGCTAGCTAACGTTTTCAAGTGGATCCAGGCCAAACACATTAGGTAACCTTGGGTTCCAGTTCGGCGAACATAGACCGACCGAGGGTCCTGGGTCTATCCGGTTTTGCTTGAACTCGACGTCTTCAGACGTTGGGGACCTTTTCTCATCAGTTGGCCTTGTTAGAGAAAATCTCATGCATGCGTACGTCGGTTGGAGGCCATCGTTACAACTGGTTGGAGGGCCATGCTCCGGTGGCGAAACCGGACCGGTCTTGTGGGGCCCGGTCAGGATGGAGCGGTCCACAACCGAAGAACCTGGTCCATGTGAGGCATCAACTGGCCCAGCTGCCTTGCGAGCTTGAGCTTGGGTGACCACTTTAATCAGACTTTGGAACTGATGGCCTGGCCCGTCCCATGGCAGCGGAGTGATAGATGTGTTTCTGGTGGTCCTTTTTTGTGGTTTTGGGAAGCAACAACCATGACCGCCGGATTTGTGTTATGGTTTCCTGCTGCTTGGTGCTTTCCCGTTGTTTTTTAAATAGTGTTCAAGCGTAATTATTACCATATTTGGGAATCACTACCCCATTTGACTAGGGTTTTTGGGGAAGGGTTTGAACCACCATCCAGTCTTTGTCACTGTGGTGACTCTTGGCCTCCTTACTTAATAGTGCCCTAGGTGACCCCGTGCTGTTTTATCACCCCATGTGGCACAGTGCTTGTCACAGCCCATGTGTTTGCGTACTCGAATTCGAATACGGACCATGCCGAATCCCGAATCCCGGCGGACGGGAGGATTGATGTAGGACATCCCAAACACTCCCAAAACGCGAAAAGAACGATCAACACTTCATGGCTGAGTGCCTTCTGCTGTGCTGAGTGCCTTCACTCCATGTATTGCAAGTGTTCTCTGAGTACATTCTCCCTTGACACCACCCCAATGTAGGCATGCAGATGTGCCAACAAAAACATGAGTGTGTTTGGGAGTGAATCCTCGTCATGTACCAGTACCAAAGTCTCGCACTTCCGTGAAACAGCGGCCATTCTCCCAGATCCTTTGACTCTTCCTTTAGAGGTTCCGTTCCTGACCAGGGAGGGCGAGGTCAATTCCTGACGGAAGGCGAGGGGGGCTCGTTTCAGCCCCGGAACCGGCCTACAATACACCACCCTCAGACACCACCCTTCCCAGGTTTTGGGACCCGTCAAAACGTCTGTCCTTCCAGAAGAACCACCCAACTCCCGGTCACGGTCTCTGGTTCTTTTTCCGGAGAATCATCCAACTGCCCGGAGCTGTTGTCTCCGGGCTGGCAACTGTGACTGTCCTCGTTGAAGCAGTTGACGTTGCAATGAACGCCTGTGGAGCTGGTGCGTGGAGCATCTGGACTTCACGGACCATACTGAGTACCAAAGTACCACTGACAGCATCTCACCAAGGAGCTAGCTACTTCTTGTACTTTTTATCTCACTGAGGTGAAGCAGGCTACTGGCTAGACCAAAGGCTCAAGAAGTGCAGGGCTCACTGAGGTGGATCGTAACCTGACATTCACCAAGACTGCCGCCTCTGCGGCGCTTAAGGTGAATCTGCGAAGCCTCATCTTCGGCCTCCAGTTCAACCAAAGCATCGAGCAGCTTTCACGCAAATGGAGCAGCCTCCAGACCCTGAGCTTCGGCGAGCACTTCGACCAAAGCAGAGTGACTTGGTGTGTCACTCCCAAAGCAGAGCTCCAAATAGCTTCGAAAGAAGATACTTGGATCCTCGAAGACAAACATGGACCCTGAAAATACACTGGTTGGTGAGGAAAACGATCTTCCAGGGAGCCATTGTCAGGGTCCATGTGAGTTTTTGGGAGAGTAGTCCCAGTCCCACCTTCTCAGGAGGTCAGAATGAAGCCCTAGACACTGGTCGGAATGCTTTTCGCAAGCCCTCGGTGTTCGTCTTGAAGTGGGACGGATGATGGTGGAGCAACAGATTCAAGATGACTCAAGAGCTGATAGCCCAATAAGCTGTAGTTACTTGGGATAATGAACCAGTCATGACCCTTCGTGTGGGTCCTCATTTCTGAAACCACCTATCATTTGGATCTTCTTAGGCTCGGAGTTAGGCAAAGCTTACACCGAGAACCTTGGAAACATCCTGGTTGCTGGACATCAAATTCAAGATCATCCCTGGTCATCCTATGTCCTGACATGCTTTGGACATTCAGATTTGGTTCTTGTTTGACTCGCATGCGCCACACGATCAAAACAGGTCACCTGGCCCTCTGGCTTGCGTCATTTAAGCCTTGGCTTCAATCAGAGCGTAGATCCCAAATCACTGCCCAAGATGCCTGGCGTTGCGATTTCAGCAGCTTTCTTGCTGATCCCTTTGGACATGCTTTCAAATCTTGGGATTTCGTTGTTGCTGTTCGGAATTTTTGAACTAAGCTAGAGAAACTGGAAACTGATGGGAAAGAATTATTACCCTATTGAGATTGACTCATTGGGAAGTCCTCCCAAAGGGAAGATGTTCTTTGACCAGGACCCTCCAAGCCGGGTTCCCCCAGGAACTTGGAAGCCTTGAGTATTTGCAAGGCCTGCCGTCCAATCTTGGAACGAATGGCCTTTGAGGGCCGATTGCAGAGTCTCAAGTTCCTTGAAAGCAAAACTCAGATATAGCGTTGACCCTTCCGACGCGAATGGTCACATGAGGCCTGGCTTCCCAGTGTCGACACTGGGACTATCTGATAAGCAGAGTGCCATGACTGTTGCTGGCGGGGGTTGGGGCCAGCTGTCAGTTTTGGAGGGCAGGGAATCTCAGCACAAAGTTGTTGAGTGGGGTAATTACATGTCACTCTGAAGCCTCTTCCCTTGCTGAGGTTTGGTGAGCACTTCAACCAGAGTTTGGAAGGAGCCTGGAGGTGTTGAGTGATTTTGATGTGATTTCCTGAGAGTGTCCGTGAGAGTTGGAGACAAAAAACTGCTGAATGGATCGGATAGATTATTTTCCTTCAGAAAGGATCCGAACATAGCAGTCTACATGGACTTCAAGGCATTCTAGGGTGGTTTGCATCTATGTGTATACAAGGGCATCCGTGCAGAGTAAATATCAAATACAAGAAGAAGTAGGGACTTGTAGCCATGTTGCTAATCCAACGTAATCCAAGACGACCGGCTCTGAACCGCGTTTGTTTCTTTCACGTTTCCTATCCAGACGACCTCAAACACTGCAGGCACCTCACTGGGGCTTCGTAGAGAGACTAAGACTAAGGGTCGCGTAGACATCCGTACACGGACGTCATAGACCCTCAACATGGGGAGCTGCACGGATATAGGAAGAACCGAATCCGTGACGGATCAGATCACCGGAGCGGATCCATTCCGCCCTGGAGTCCTGGCGAGCAGGAATGACATTGCCGGGCACCTTACTGAGTCTCACTTTCGGCACTGACTTCAATCAGCCTTTGGAGCGAGTGACATGGCCCCGCCGTCTTCTGGGATGTTCAAAAGCTTTTGATGTTGTTTTCAACTTTTGCGGCTTAGTAGTGAAGAAACTATATCAACGTGAGGGGGTAGTTGAACTATAGGACGATTCAGAGACTCGTTGAATGTTTTTTTGTTGGGTAAGTCTTTTTCAAGGGACGAACGTTCCGCTAGTCAACTTGCGAGACCCAGGTGACTTGTGTTGTTGAACGAACTTCATGTCTAAGTCCCTCCCCATTTGGATTGTCGTTGGATTGTAGAACCTTTTCGTCGACCTGTTTCGTTCGCTACATGGTGGAGTCGGGCTCCAGGTGCCATGACCCATCCCTGATCAACTAAGAGGCCCAGAAGCGATCCAATGAATCGATCATCATCGATCCTTTTTCTGTCCAAAAAAGGAACATCAAATCTTGGAACTCGTGGATCCAAAATCGCCCAGCGTAGGTCTGCAGAGCTTGACCTTTGGGGACCACTTTAACCAACGCCTAGACCGAGTGGTGTGGCCAGAGAGTCTCGAGATTCTCACCTTTGGCAAGTATTTCAGCCGAAGTTATCAGAGTCTGAAGAGAATCGCATTACCCAGAAGCTTGCTTCAGAGGTAAACCTTTTGAACTCTTTTGATGGCACCGTTGTATGTGTGTGATTTACCAATCGGATCCCATCAATATATATGTTGCATCCGTATACACAACTAACCATCACCATCCGCTGTGAGTAGTTTGATTTACCCATGCTCAATATGTGAACTGCTGTTTCCTGCGGACGATCTTGTGTGTGGCTTACCTATTATTCGTCGATGTAAGGAATCCATTTCATGTTCCAAAAGTACCAGTTTAACATGCTTTGTTTCAATCATGTTTCTGTGTAGTTTTAAAAGTCCGACTACCATGGTGGCAAAGAGGAACATCCAATTCCTTCTTTGTTGCTGGCTTGCAGTTCGATCGCTCGTTGATACGCGCACCCAAACACTCGCTCCAACGACAACCAGGACGGCTCCAGCGCTTGACGCTCGGCAGTGCCTTCAACGAAAGCTTGGACGAAGTGATTTGGACCAGTGACTCGAGCAGAGACAGACGACCGGATGGACCGGGCGGGCGCAGTTCGCATACGAACCGCTGTGTCAGCGCGGTTCGTCGCGTCGCGAGCGAACCATCCAGCTGGTCCAGGTGGGTGGTGTTGGAGCGGTTTGGAGCTTGGTGGAACACCTACTACTCATACTATCATACGTACTATACTAAATGTATCTTGGGACCATGGGACCATCCATGGGGCTGGAGTTTTGGTTCTACATGGACCCTTCAATGCCGAAATAGGCCAACGAACCCACGCCTGGCTGCAGAAATCCCACGAATGGGTAGGAACATCGGTTTGACCCTTGATGTGTCCACCAATCTCAAACCCAGCCCGTTAGTCGAATCCAAGTGCCAAGAGCACTAGTTAGCACTGCCAAGAGCGTCGCAGTTAGCATGGATTCATGGATTCTTTCAGGTCTTCAGAATCGACTTGGACAGACGACGTCGACGTCGATTGGTCTTTTGTTGGAGCTAGCTAGGTACCTTGCAGAGTTTGACTTTCGGCGATGACTTTAACCAATGCATTCAGAAAGTGATTTGGCCGGAGGGCCTTTGCGAACTGACCTTTGGCAAGAACTTCAACCAGAGCTTGGAAGGAGTGACTTGGCCTACGATCCCTGGCTGCATGAAGCAGTTTCTTGCTGGCTTGCGTCCAAATAGTAAGGAGAAACAATCGTCGATATGTTTCTCCGGGTGCCTTTTTCACCTGGGAAGGAACCTTCAATGCTTGACCTTCGGTCTTTGCTTCAATCAGAATTTGGCGAACGTTGTTTGGCCTGATGGCTTGCAGACTTTGTCGTTTGGCAATTGCTCCACTTGCTTGAACACCTTGAAATTGCCGAGCCTCAAAAGCTTACGTCATAGAGGCCCCTTGGATTTGGTGGGTGGTTTTGAGCAACCGTTTTTGCCTTACTGTTGATGGTCACGGGTGAGTTTGGCTGAACACTTCCAACAGGATCTGTTGATTCCAGTGTTAGACCCTGAGGCCGAGGGACACGGGACTTTCCGAAAACCCGAAGCAACGCGAGTGTTACGCGTCGTCGCCGCCGCGGTTTGTGGTCGTTTCCAGAAGAGTTGTCCGTTTGAGCCCTGGAGGGTCTCAGAATTTTCAGATATTGACCAATCTTGTTTTCAGCAGGCGGAGAAGTGACTTGAGGGCAACCATTTGAAGGCCTTTAAGAAAACAATTTGAATAAACAACCTAAACTAAGCCAACATAAGGCACCAGACAAGTGGGGATGTGTAATAACCCCCCTGCTTGCAATTTAGTAAGGGCTGGACCTAAAGTATCCGAGGTGACCAAAAGCACCACAAAACGATAATAGGAAAACAAGACGATGACGATTGATGACATTTCGCCTTTTCTGAGACGTCTTGCAGTCTTGCATTTCTCTGTGCATCCTTCCATTGGTATGACAGCATTTAAAGAAGGTCCTCTGTGTTTCTCCTTCACTTGTTCATGGCTGCGTTGTGCCCGAAGTTCTGTGCGAGCTTGCAGTGCTTTCTTGCTGTATTGTTAGCCACCTTGAGTTAAATCCAAGTTGAAATTAGTTTCAGAGACGGATGTTGGGAGTAGTGTCGAGAGGTGCCTTACTTTCTGTTGAACTGCTGTCGCATTGCGGAGCATGTGAAGAATTGGTGCCTTGAGGCCCAAGATCTGGGTAAAGCGAGAGGGTACCAGAACGATAACGAAACGATAACAAAAACGATAACGTTATGTAACAAAGTCCTCTCAGATGAACAATGTCCCATTTCTTTGTTTCAGATGTTTGATTTTCTCTTTCGCTTTCATGCCGGAAATTCTGGTGGCAACGCAAAATGTGCTGCAGCTGCTTGCAGCTTGGGAAGGGCCGGGGCAGGACTACCTTCGATTGATCCTACATGTCCCAAGCCCTTGAAAAACGATAAAATAGATTTTCCATATACTGTATACCCCAAACCCTTGAAAAACGATAATAGGAAAAAACGATAACGCGGTTTTGGTAATTGCAATTTTCCTAGGGTTTTTTATACAACCCCAAGTGTTAAAAAAAACATGAGCTGAACCACTGACCTGAAGCAAGAGGTGTTTGGATTCTCGCTTCGGCTGATTTCGAAGCCAAGGTCTCCTGTTGAGTGCTTTTTGAGACCAACATCCGCTCTTGGTCACTTTCCAGCGTGTGCAAAAGTGACCGATAGACAGTGACGAGAGAGCATCGACGTGCGAGAGAGACAGAGAGAGAGAGAGAAAGAGAGAGAGAGATATAACTAAAAAATAGATAAAAGACTGGCACCAAATTTAATCCAGAGCTGTTTAAACACATGATGCACTCGGAGTCACTAACATGGAAGTGGAGTTCATCACCTGTAGAGGAAAGTGGCCATCCAAAGGTTGATCTTCAATTTCCATATCTGGCAGTGTAGATCCTAGGTTGATCAATCCTCGCATGGACTATATCGATAAGTAATATTGTGTGGATGTTTCATGTATGAGGATTGGACACCATCTGTGGTTCAGGCCCCCTCCTGGTTTGTTTAACATGCAAAAGGGAAGCGGGCCGACCCTGACAATAAACGGATCGTGGTCCCTCTAGCCAGAGAACTCCATGTTTTTTCCATCCTGCGAAGGGGATGTTGAATGTTTTGGACCGCGGATCTTGAGTCCCTTTTCTTGGCAGAAGGGCAGAAGGGCTTTCCTCTGGCAACTACGTAGACATCGAGCTCGACCTTGGTCAGAACGAAGATCCGACCGCGTCCGACCCCACCGGGGGTCCGACAGGAAGAGGGGTTCGGCCGTCGTTTCGGAGGCGGACAGGGTTCACACCGATCTGACTGAGTTGAGTTCGCATCCGTTCAACTCAATGGTGCTCGGTTTGTAGGGGCAGGTCCCAGAAGAGGTCCCTGCACAGGAAATAGTTTGATTTCCATATATTTCCATGATTCTTCTCCATTCGGGATCCACAAGACTTGGGAGCAGGACGTTGGAGACCATTTTTAGCCAACAAGCCCAGGTACCAGGTCTGTCCAGTCACACCTTCTGAGAAGGCAAGTGGGGATCCCGCGAGTATATATATATATAACAATGCATGAGTTATCATAAATGGGTTTTGCAACGTTTTGCTCTTGGGATTGAGTGGGTGCTCATGAATTTTAGACATGTTTTTGAGCACTTGAGACTCACTTGAGACTATGATGTACAAAACCCAAGGACCTGCAAATCCCTGCGACCTTGGCCTCCCTCTCCAAGGCAGAGAAAGGTTCCCCGGTTGGCTGCCTGGTGACACCTCAGGAGAGTCAAATCTCCGCACGGGCGTTGGACGGAAGGAGCTGTTCCCACTTCGTTCGATGCAGTATACACCTATATATATTGAATGGTTGTTCAGGACTCGAAACAGGACATCAACGTGGTTTGAATCCTCGGCCGGACTCTGAAACCCATGATTTTTTGTAGCCTTTCAGTTGTATCTTCTGAGAAGGTTTCTTTTGGTGAGACGGAGGGTCGCCATCCAAAGCCTCTAGAACATGCTAGAACCATGAATCACCTGTCCAACCTTTTGAGGGATTGGGGTGGGAAGTTCAGTGAACCCGGAGATCTCCGGTTCGGGTGAAGGAGAAATACCATTAATGTTTCGGAGGTACAAGTGGAGCCCTATAGCCTACTTGGTGTGAGTTCGTTCATCAACTCCCAATCCCAGACATTCCATTCTACAGTAATATGGAAGCAACTTGATATACTATCTACATCCATCTACCATGGACCCCATCACAACAATCCGCCTGATCAGTCCTCCACCTGTCCCAGACAGCTGGTCTAGCAAAGCACCGGCCGCAGCTCGAGGACGAGGCGGCCGTCTTGGCCGGGCTGCCGCCCGCACCGTTGAGGTGGACTGGAGCGCGATGCGTCGACCCGGGAGGGCTGCCGAGTGGGGCTGAACAAAGCCCACATGTTTGATCACGCCCATCGCCTGCGCTCGCATCTCGCACTCAACCAGCGAAAAATGCCAATTCCGCGCGGTATCCACCGCTCTCCAAGCCATCCAGGCAGTCTTCCATCCCAACCTGGCTTGATCTCCCGAATAGATGCCCTAAGGATTGGGAGGAGATGTGTCGGAAACCCATGGGTCCCCATGGTACTGGAGCGGCACTTGGTTGCAAGTCTCTCCAAAACTGAGCTCGCGGTCGCGGCCAATCCATTTTACATATTTTTCCGCCACGATGAGGTCGACTTAATTCTTGTCGTTTGCGTTGATGACTTCAAAACCACAGGTTGAGAGGACCATTTTGCAGGTTTGGAAGGGATGAGGTCTCTCATCATTGACCTTGTGACCAATACTTTGGCATGCACATCGAGAAGGATAACATCACTCTTCCTATGTCGGCTCATCCCTTTGCACACGTCTTTGACGCGCAGCGAGCGACTCCATGCTGAGCCCAAATAGCCAATGTCCAAAAATCCATCGGGAGCACGATGCTGTCAGTAGGACGTGGAACAATGTGGAACAGACCCAACCACCATCTCCAGCCACGGAAGAGGGGGCAGATGGAAGAAAACCACCCCCTCATTTGTTGGTTAGAAAACGTAGTTTTGTTTTTTTCCCCTAAACAAATGAGTGGAACTTCAACAGTTCTGTCCAGACGACTGTATTAAACGCTGCTACTGTTATGAGCAAAGTTACCTCCTACAAACAAACTACGCGTGCAAACGCTGCTGCGCCTGGCGCTCGCATTGATCGGTCTCTTGATGACTGGACAACCCAAAACAACCCAAAACGGATAAAACAAAAGTAACAGCAATGTGAAGACAGATACAGTCTGGACTGGGAAGACAGTGTTCAGCTGAAAAAGGCTAGGCTTTAGTCATGTTTCAGGGTATATGCTAGGAAGTCTTTTTTGTCAAGGAGGAAGGTTGGACAGTGGGAGTTGAAAGTTTATATCACTCACAGTAGTTTATACTTGTAAGTTCTTGGCATGGCAAGTTGGCGGGATACTACCATTGGGGTAATGGTAACCAGATCCGATGCGGCGAGGGATGGTTTCACGGCATGATCCACGATGCGTTCACGGCAGAGACACTTCAGCGACCCATCAGGTTCCCGAACGGACCACCCGTCACGGATGGGACGAATGCGTCTCGCGTCTCGCGCGGCTTGGGGGAAGGTGCGAGACGCGAGGCGGACGGCATCTTCCGTAGCATTAGGGACCAACAGGAAGCCCTATTCCCTTTTGGCCGAATACATTTCCTGGAACGTCATGGTATTGCTGGAGTGGGTGTGCGGCACAGTCAACTCAAAACTATGGGTCAAGTCCAACTCACATTGTGTTTGTGAGGGGTTCTGACATGCCTCTTTCTGTCCAGAGAGTTTCAATCTAGCTCCAAGCCAACTCTTTCCTGCTGCGGCGCAGCCGCGGGGGCCTTTTCACCCGGGGCCTTTTCAGCCAAACACACAAGCGGTGTACGTGGCAGCATCCTGCCAGGAAGATCGGTTGCAACATCTCCAAAGGACATTTGGTGCAATTCCAGGGTGAGGACTGCTGGTCCGGTCGACCTGCTCCGGCCGACCACGTCGGCTTCTCCAGTCGGTCGGTGTTACAAAGCCGCGGCGAGGTGTTCGGTCGGCTCTGGAGGTCCGTTGTGACTGTAGAAAACAACGAATGTTCCACCAGGACCCCCCGTTTTATGGGAGTTCTATTGATAGCTCCGTCAGAGGTGATTTGGGGTGTCCATAAAGCACCCCGACAGTGGGTCCTGGTAGTAATCTTCCGATATATATATATATATACCGATATCAACTTCAGACACTCTAATTTGAGGGCAGTGGCTTTTGAGAAGAGTGTTCTCCGAACTTGTTGATGTTTGGTTGAGAACTGCCTTGCGACCGCTTACGGAGCAATGCAAGCATTTGGATCCTTTTGAGGAGCAGAAAGAACATCTCTGTCGAAGGAGTTTCAAGCATCAGTGAGTCAGTGAGGTTGTTCATTCTCTACAGCTTGAGACCCTTTTCCAAAGCTTGCAATACCTCCTCGGGATGGATTCTGAGCTTTGTGTCTTCCAGACTGGATGCATGACTAGCCCTGAAAACAAGGAAGGTCGCTACAACCATCGCAACGACCTGGATGGTGACCAGTCGGAATGGCCTCCACCGGTCCACTCATTTCGGAACACATCACGAAGTGGAATGAGAACATCCAATTGAGTGTATATATGAGGCCATTCCGACTGGTCAGCTGCGGGTGCAGTTTCCAATGCACTTCGTTTCTGTCTTCGTCGGACCGGTGGATCGACTGATGGAGAGATAACACCCGTCGCCACCCACGCCGTCCAACACAAAATGACTCCCCGCTTTGAGAGAGATGGGCGAAGCCGTCCCAAGCCATCATCCATCCTATTCCACCCTATTTGACCCTAATGACCGTTGACCAGATGATAGTTCGGTCATCCAAGATCATCCCATTCTTTTGAACCCGAACCCGCCCCCCCACGTCCGTGCGCAAGCTTCGCCGGGTGGTCAGGACGAAGTGGGTTCAGGCACTGCTAGGCGCGGTTGGGTGTGGCGAGGTTCGGCTCGGAGTGACCAGTGGATCAACAGACGTTTGTTGGGAATTGGATGGAATTGGAGACACCTTGGGGACACAACACTCAACCACTCAACTAAGAACATGTGATTTGCCAGTTCCGGCTCGTTTTTGGTTGGGGGGGATCTGGTGTTCCGTTCACCACCAGCCACTCCATGTTCACGTCGATTCAGCAACCAGCCGGAACACATCCCTGAGAGATGGGCTCCGCGATGGGCCCCGGAGGTCTCGAACAGGCGCCTTTCATCCGAAGACTGACCCGAAGTCCGAGGTACCCTTAAGCTTGTGAGACGTTATGCCTTCAGTCCATACTTTATAGGTTCAAAAACTTCCCTGGTAGGGTTGTTTGGAAGTATCGGTCATCTGATCTAGGTGATGGTTTCGGATATTTCTCTGTTCAACCTTTACTTGGGGATGGTTGGACCCTCTGACTAATATTTTTCAAATGGGTTGAATACACCAACCAGTGATGTCATGCTGCAGAATCCATGCAGCTCTTGCCAAAGACACGGGTGATGCTGGGTGCAGTCGGGGTTCACGGCTGTTGTTGTTGTTGTTGTTGTTGTTGTTGTTGTTGATGTTCTTGTTTGTTTGATCGCTCTTCGGTGCCCTCTGAAGCATCCTCATCGCTTTGTGTGTTTGTGGGTTTGTGAGTTGATAAGTCTATCACTCTTTTAATTGAGTATTTCATCTG